TCTTGCAACTTCTCGAGTAAACGAAATTGAAAAAATTTCACCAGTTTGAAACTTTTTGAACGACAACAATAAAAAAAAGTAGTAACATATTGGGATAGGTAGTCAATTTCCGGTCGATGTCAATTTTCGAAAAATCGTATATACTACTAAAATGTACTAATTATGTACAATTATGTACAACAATTATTATGATTATGTACCAACAAATTTTTTTCAGAATTTGGATTTTTAAAAATTGAAAATATCAAAACCCGGAAAATGTTTACCCGAATTTGTACAACACCAAAGTTATACGTCGTTAAAATGTACAAAATATGTACAATTCAAATCACCCATCAGATTTGAAAAATTTTCATCGGGTCACTATCTGGAGCCAAAAGTTCAAAAATAAAAAAAGTTCGATTTACGGATTTTTTTTTTCAACTTTCGTACACCTCCAGTGTATACGTCGTTAAAATGTACAAAATATGTACAATTCAAATCTGATTTTGTACAATCGATATTGATTATGTACAAGTCAGATTTGATTTTGTACACTCGATATTGATTATGTACAAGTCAGATGTGATTTTTTGTCAAACATGAAAAGGAATGATGTTTTTTGGGGTACACATTTTTTGGGGTGATTACAATACTTCTACGCACACCGTGGGGTTGCGGAAAAGTAATATGCATTCTTTTTTAGCATACATTTCTGAAGGAAGGAGAAAAAAGACTGCGCAAATTTGTTTTCAAAATAAAATTTCATGCTTTATTTTTTTTCTAATAAAATTGATTTCACAATAAATCAGCATATTAGTTAACAGCTACAGCCACACTTATTTTCTAGGCTCTTATATTTTGCTTGACCCTTTTTTTTAATTTTCCTTCTTCATTTCACTTGTCTCTCAATTTTGGAAATCGATTAATTGTTGGCTTTGTTTTTGTTGTCGTTTTTATTTTTCGAATTCGAAACACTATCCTGCGAATGCGATTGCGGCAGACCCGATTGATTTTGTGAGTTTGAATTCGACTGCTTTTGCGATTGCTGGCCCGATGGCGGTTGCGATTGGTTTGGATTCTGTTGTTGTTGTTGCTGTGATCCTGTTTGATCAAAAGACAGAAAAATTCTTACTAATGGCGCGTCTACGTTATGCTTACAATTGCTAAATCACTTACGTGATGATGGTTGCTGTTGAGAGTTGCACGTGTGTGTACATTTTTTGGCTGGGGAATTTGAGCCGGCAATTGTGTAGAATTGTTAAAATCATCATGACATTTATATTGAACTAGTTGATCTCGATCGCGATATAACTTAACATCTTCAAATCAATAGTTGCATCCAGACAATATATTGAATTAACTGGTCAGCTGAGCTGACAGTACGTTAGCCAGCTAAATGGACTAAAAAAATAGAATTTATTGTTATAATGATCAATCACTTCTATTAAAACAATGTGTTGTTCCGTAAGTCATTGCATCAAGGATGTGTTCCGGCAGCATTGAAAAACTCGAGAATTGTGCCCATATTCAAATCGGGGAAAAAGTGCAACGCATCGAACTACAGGTCAGTAGTGATCATACCAACAATAGCAAAACTTTTTGAAATTGTTGTGTATGGCAAAATCGACGCGTTCGTAAATTCGAAAATCAACCACAATCAACATGGATTCGTGAAAAATCGGTCAACATCAACGAATTTGCTTCAAATGGTAAACTTCACGATGGATTCGATGATCGAAAAATATCAAACAGATGTGCTGTATACAGATTTCGAGAAGGCCTTCGATCGTGTGAACCACATGAAACTGCTGCAGAAGCTAGTGGGATTCGGGTTCAGCCGGAGAATTGTCAAATGGTTTCATGGATATTTGACAGCTCGAACACAGTATGTTGTAATCGGTGAAAGTAAGTCACGTACTTTCATTGTATCGTCTGGGGTGCCAGCGGGAGGTATTTTGGGACCTTAAGGTCAATTGTCTCTTTATTATCTTTATTAACGACACTGTCAAATGCACTTGTTTTACTTTTCGCAGATGATCTAAAATTGATCCGTAAGATACAATCGCCAATTGATGCCATTATTTTTCAAAGTGCCATTAATCAATTGAACGACTGGTGCACTGAAAACAGCCTACATTTGAATTTAAGAAAATGCTTCGTTATGACGTATGCAAAAGGTGGCGCCGCAGTGAACTACGATTATACAATCAACAAAGGCCAACATACATTTGAACAGATCAACTTGCACAAGGATCTGGGAGTTTTATTCGACACGAAGCTAACATTTGTCAGTCACATAGATGCGATCACAGCCAGTGCACATGGGGCAATCGGCAATGGGATTCATAAAACACACATTGAAGGATAAATTCACAATTGAATCTGCAAAAATGTTATATTGCGCGCTAGTAAGATCAAAATTAAAGTACGCAAGTATTGTATGGCGACCATACCACCTTATCCACTCCGATAGAATAGAATCGATACAGATAGATTTTGTGATATATGGATTAAGATTTGTTTACCAAAGAGATGAGAATTATGTATTGCCACCGTATCAGTTTAGATGTGATGTTTTAAATATTCAACCGCTTTGGAGACGGCGTATAAATGCCTCTGTATTTTTAATTTATGATCTCCTTTTGGGTAAAATAGTGTCTAGCTCACTTAGAAATAAAATTGTATATGCAAGACTGCAATACAACGAAAACCAAAGAAATTTGAGAAATACAGAACTAATTAGAGTTAGAACATTTACATCGGAATATGCACATACTCAACCTTTCTATGTAGCTTGTAGAAATTTTAATTCAATAAGAGAAACATTTTTAGAGTCGGCATCGAGACACATTTTTTGAAATAATATTGTTAAATTGGACAATGTGATATTTAATAATCGGTAAATGGGCTGGTTAAGAAGAATTGTGCTACGATTTAGAAATGTGCAATGGACACAATCGATATCTGGTGCTCCGAAGTCGAAAAGACTGGTGGCTGGATATTCGATCGGGTAGTGTTTCATTGCAAATGATGTAAAATAACAATAATTGTGAGACATATAATCAGTCTGTGATCAGACGGTGAAATAAAAAAAAAAAAAAAAAATCATTATAACAATAACTTTTATTGTTTTAGCCCATTTAGCTGGCTAACGTACTGTCAGCTCAGCTGACCAGTTAGTTCAATATATTATCTGGTTGCATCAATCGAACTTTGTAATCCGACCGATGAAAACAGCAGCTTCAATTTCCTTGTTCCAAATGTAATAAACAAACGGATGATCAGCATGAAATAGATTTTCAATGGGTTGAGCGCAAAGTAGATTCAAAAATAAAGAAGCTAACAAATGAAACAATAATTCATTTTAAAATAATCAATATGTAAAATCGTTACATGCATCGAATGTTATATATCCTTAGTAAGGATACTTCCTTACATGCAGCTGCCGCTTCTGAACCATCCTCATTAACGTCTATGAATGCTGTGTGATGAGCATCAGATACATACAATTGTTGGTTGGTGTCCAAAATTTCCTGTAAATCGGCCTTGTGTGGATCGAAAATGTCAACCATGCCCAACTGGAAAGGAGAAAAATAAGACATTTGAAATCCAACAATCTTTATAACAAGAAATGTGCTTGCTCACTTTTTTCAACAGGTCATCCAACTCGATTGCCATTCCGACCTTGAATTTTGGAATTCGAACATCAACTTCTAGCGGGTAGCGAGAAACCAAATCTTGGCTTAGTCTTGTTAAATTGCATTTTTTCAATCTCCTTTCGAGCTGAGACAGTCCCGTTCGACTCCGGGGTAGAAGAATGATGAACGAATATTTTGAATTGGTGTACTCAATTTCAAGTACCGATGCACTCAGCTCGAATTCATAATCAATGTAGCGAAAACCACTTTTCATTCTCATGAAATCAACTTGAACTGTTTTATTTTTATTGACATAAAAATTACCGGCAGAGGTGAGCGTTTTGTTGAATTTTTGTTTCCAACTGCCTTTGAAATAGATGGCATTTATTAGTATGACACTAATGTCTTTTTGGATTCTATCGGGTTGAATGAAATCCCTGATTTGCGAGTTTGTTTTCTCTGCAACGAAATCATTTATGTTTCGAGCTGCTTGAGTGTTTTTGTCAAAATTGAGCGCTTCAATTCCACATGAAAACTTATTAGCAGCAATACTTGCAAACGTTTTATTTAAGGTATAGCGTTCGTTTGCGTAAATTCGATTTGCAATCAATAGCGATGTTTTTTCGTCATTATTTTTAAGAAATCGACTGATTTCGTAAAACTGATTCGCTGTGAATGTTTTATTGTCATTTAAATATAAGCTTTTATTCATTTGCTCGTATGTGACTCCATTGGCGGCTGTCGAAAGCAGCGCGAGTACATTTAGGATAGATACTGGTGAAAAAATCACGTTCTCATTTGTACTTTGAACATATTGCTGAAAAAGCAAAAGATTGGGTTTCAACTACCTTGGCTTCAAAGCATATTAAGTATTTTCGTGTGTATGTTTAGGATGATTTTATTCAAATTACCTGATATAAATCCGATGTAAAATGGCCAAATCCATTTGTAAGTTCACTTAAACGAACTGGTGATGCAGGGCTCAATAACGACATCGCTTATAGTTCTTATAGAAACAAAGTTATAATGCTTAAAGGCGACGACGAATGACTCCTTTCTTCGTTATGGATTCGCCTTTTAAACAATTTCTATGAGTTGCATTTAATAATGTCACTTGTACAAACTTCTATTTATCAGCTCAAAATGGAGTGAACTACACTATGGTACTGGAATAGGATTTTACGATAAAAAGAGATTAATTATTGTTGTTGTTGAACATACTGTATCAGTTAATCAAATGAAAAAATAAGAAGTTTTCTTCACTTATTTTTTCATTTCAAAAAGAGATTACTTAAATGCATCCATAGTTTACAGTTTACAGAACTGACAATATTGACACTCATTCGAACTATCATTTACATACATACAAATCATTGTAACATACAGTTGCATGAGAGTCAGCAAATTATTCTGTTCGTGCTACTTCGTTTAAATGTTTACAATTTGTAATTTTTTCTGTTATTTGTTTTTACTGAAAACGACACAATCAATTTCTTACTATTTTTTTTTATTGTCGTCGTTCAAGAAGTTTCAAACCGATAAACTGGTGAAATTTTTTCAATTTCGTTTACTCGAGAAGTTGCAAGAAAAAGTATTTTATGGGAATAAAGTTCAAATATTATAGTTGATTAATTTGTCGTGAACAAAATACATTATCTCCAAGTAATTTAATCACAGTGCGAGTGGATAGAATGGGCCAATTGATAAATCGGCTCGAGAAAAATTTCATAGAAAAATCTCATATGCAAAGAAATATTGAGGAAAGATAGTGCAATCAGAGTTTATTGGTTATAGTGTTATCCCAATTTTTTCGTTGTAATCAATTTCATTTAACACAGCGTACGTAATGGCCAAATATATCTAGTCATTGAATGCACTGTAATTTGTGTCAAGTTTACTGTTGATGTTTTTTCATGTATAACGTACACCGATAATATTATTTGTTATGTTGAACAATCACGTACTAATGTGTTCGCCACTCTGTATCAACATAAACATCCAGGAATTTTTTTGTCTTTCACTTTATTCCAAAAATATGCCATGAATTTGAACGACTACGTGTTTTATATGCTTGCTATAGACAATAATAAAGAGAATAATAATAATAATAATAATATTAAGCATTTGAAATTTTGAATATAGATTAGACATTGCATTTCTTAAATGACATTAATAAACTGCTGTTCAACACATGTGCACATAAGACTGAAATTTTCAATTTCTGCAAAAATGGTGTTTTCTATAAAACTTCTAATATGTGTGCTAGCTTCAATGTTAATACATATCCTGTGTGAGCCCAGACAATCGAAATTTACACAAGGTTTGTGCATTATTAATCACAGTTTTGAACTATTTTACATTTGTGTGATTTTATATTATTTTATCAGTGAAAAAGTGAAAAAAAAAATCATGTGGAGAAGAGCTACAGCTAAAAGAACTATTTAACATAATTGTGTTTTGTAACCTCATGATAAATACATGAAGCCATTAAGTAGCCAAAAAACTGAAATGATTTTTTAATAATTGGAATGAAAGACTTCTCATTCTGGTGCGAAATAAGAAATCATTTATTCCAATTATTATGACTGGTGTAGTAGTCCCACAACATATTCAACACTTTGAATGAAATAGTTACTTGTTCCGAACAACCATGTCGGCAAACAATTTTTTATGTTTTCACTCACAAATACATTTTATTTTTTAAAGCTTGCTTAAAATGGGCAGAAGATAGCCTACTAACTACAACGATGGGACAAAAAATCGACGAATTAGAATTCCTTTCCACAGTAAGTTTTTGTATAAAATGCATACGTTCTCTGCGTCATCTATAAATTGTTTTCTTTTTCAGGCGGCTCTTTTTGTCCTCAATAAGAGTATGTTTACACCAGTAAAGTTCGCATGCACTGCGGTACTAATTTCTCATAAGAAATTGATAACATCAGGTCATTGCGTGTCCGACCCAATCGAAAAAATTCCATTATTCATTCGATTTACGGCAAGTGTAATTTATAATTACACATTTTTCACATTTTAATAAGTTTTTCATTTAAAATTTTATTTTCAGAAGGATTACACAGATGAAAAAGACTTTAAAGACTATTACGTAAAGGTTAATTAAATTTAAAACTTTCTTTTAATTAAATTTAAAAAGATTATCATCAATTTCTGTTCTTTATTTGCAGAATTTTACACTGCACCCGAGATATAACAATGGAATAGATTTGGCTATCTTGGAACTTGAGGATGTCGTAGAGTTCACGCCAAAAATAAGACCTGCATGCTTGCTAGGGGCGGACCTTAATTACGACTATTCGCAATTTGAAATTGCATTTGCTGGATTCGGTGTTGGTTATTTTCATGAGGATGGAATAAAATCAGAAGGAGTTGAAAGTGAGTAATATCAATATTAGAATTGATTCGAATTAGTTGATTTCCTTTTTTATTATTATTCAGACAAGGAATATGCATTCATAAACGGTCCATTGCGGAAGATATCAATGAAAAAAGTTGCAGATGCGTCAATATCAAAAGATATACAAGGTGTATATGATGTATTTACGTGGGCTAACTCTAATCTTGAGGGTATGGTTTGCGCTGGTGACTCCGGCGGCGCTGTTCAAGTTGAATATTTTGGCGGCCTAAATATGGTACTTGGCATCGCAAAGGCAGGTAATACTAAAGAACTTTGTTCAATGCAGACAGCTTTTATAAACGTGACAAAAGAACAAAAGTGGATTGAATCAATAGCATTTAATGATTTTTAACAGAATTAAGCTTATTACCTTTCATAAATATTTCACTGAATAATCCGATAAAAAATACAAACTTTCTTTTAGTTTATAGTTTTACCAATTAAATATCAAACTGTCAAAACTTTGCAAACATATATATATGAAAACAAAATAAAAAAGAGAAAATAGAATACACCGCCAGAACATTGGTTGTTACATTTATTGTTGTTGTTTTTAATACATTCATATTGGGATCAGAACGATCGGTTGAATTTACAAAAATATCATTATTCGCATTTACAGCATCAATCAGTCTAGCAATTGGTAAAATCGACAATTAAAAAAACTTCACTTTTTTGGGTTGATTTCAAACTATCCTAATGAACTGCGGACCATCGAACCGAAATATCATTTATTCTCATAACTAATCGTATAGGGGTGAAGAACGGCAAATTTTTTCGTAAATTGTTTTTAAATACTCTATTAGGGTGGCCCAAACTGTTTTTCACTATGAACACCTTAGCTTCCAATAGCTTAAAGTTATTTTGGGGTGGAATCTAGAAAAACTGCATTTTCAGATTTTTGATACCTAGGTACCCTGCCAACCCTGGGCTATACGAAAATGACCATTTTTGGCCCCTTTTTGGAAATTCATGTTTACAGGAACTTGTCAGGTCATTTTTCAATAAATTTGGCTATAATGTTGAAAGATAGCGAATTTAGCGTTTTTTAGCGCCGGATTCGGATTCAGCGTCCAAAAAAACCTATAGTAAATTTTTTCTATAGTAAATTTTTAATTTTATACGTCTCAAAATCTAAAAGTGATATAATAGTTTTTTCTATAGTAAATTTTCCAAAAAAATAATTTTATACGTCGCAAATTCTAAAAACGATATAATAGTTTTTTCCATAGTAAATTTTTCAAAAAATAATTTTATACGTCGCAAATTCTAAAAACGATACGATAGTTTTTTCTATAGTAAATTTTTCAAAAAAAATATTTTATACGTCGCAAATTCTAAAAACGATATAATAGTTTTTTCTATAGTAAAATTTTCAAAAAAATAATTTTTCAAAAAAATAAATTGAGAGGACTCTGGATTTTCTGGTCGACGATCTTCACAACGAATTTTTTTTTTCGTTATTATTGACCTGTTTGCTTTTGTACGTCGATATTTCAATTAAATTCATTCAAATACAGCGATCATATGAAAACAAGCGCCAGTGTGTGCGCATACCGGCACAAGGGAAAAATCACATCGAAACACTAATCGGGAGTGACAGACTGAGAGCGAGAAACAAATAATCAGAGTCGAAAACTTATGTCGCCGAATTTCTATTTCAAACACATGTTCGCTCCGTTAATCGAATACATCTTTTCTATTCAAACAAAGAATGAACATAAAGAAGCTTTTCAAATACAGTGTCACAACTTTAATTTTATAATTTTCTTATGCTTTAACTGAAATCAACTACATTTGAAATATAAAATTTGTAGATAGTAGTATAACTCTAGGCGTTTTCCGCAAGTGTTTTTTTTTAAATTAAATAGTGAAGACGCCTTTCGGTTTACTTACAAAGAAACGAAAAGGAAAAGAGAATTTTTTGTTCCTTCGAAAGTTTTCTTGAAATTGTTCCCTTGTATGAGAGGTTGAAAAGAAACATGGCAATAAATGAGCAACAATAAACACAGAATTGAAACAATGGAGTATGTAATTTATAGGATTGTTGTGTATGTGATGAGTTTTCCAATGAAGAGTTCGTCTGAATTCGATTAGATTTAATATTCAGGAAGTAAAACGAAACAGGTACGCGACATTTCCTAACTTTGAACTACCTGTTTTGAAATTCAAACGGAAATAAAGTTACCATACTCATCAAAAAATATATTTTATTAATTGCGAACATGTTGCATCAGTTGTAAATCACATCGATTGCCATCATCATTCGATTTCATTCCAACAGAATAGGATCAATCGATTAACAAATAAAATTCGAATTTTCGATTACAACAACTTGGCAAGTTTTTTATAAAGAAATAACAAAAAAAAACATTCATAGTGTTGAATTGGAAAGAAAAAAAGTGACGTGTATTTGCTAACTGTGTTTTAAGTAGAATTTTTTTTGTATAAGTTATTGAGTCGCAAATCGAAGAATGTTTTCAAAAGAGACCGTTGAACAAAATGCGTACGACGGCTCAAATGAGCGAAAGAAAAAACAATGAAAAACATGATTATTTGATCGATTTGGCTAACAAGGATATCCCACTGAAGCCAATGCTTGGTATGTGTTGTGTTGTGTCGTCAATTTAGTTGTTTCACTGGTCGTTTTCATTGAATTCTTTGTGTGCACAGATTGGTTTGCTCGTTTGTTATATTGTTCTTCTTCTTCTGCGCTCTTTTTTGTTGTTGTCGTTTTGTCTCCATTTGCGAATATTTGGTAGTGAAGTCAAAATGTTGTCGATAATTTATGATTCGACACCTATCAGTTTAAAAGGCATTTCAATGAGAGATAGACATAGAGAGTAAATGGTAAGCGTACCCAAACAAATGAAATGCATTCGATTCGCCTTTTGTAAAATCGTTGCTTGTTTCGTTTTTCGATTCAAATTCGTTAACTTTTGTCATTTTTTTTTTCTCTCTTCATTTTGTTGTTGGTCTTTTGTTATCGGAAAATCGACTGTGTAATGTCGAACCAAATGAAACAGAGACAAGGCAAAAAATACACTGATTGAAGAAACGACAACAATAACAGTGAGGCAGAGAGAGGGACATAGAGAGAGAGAGAGCGAAGACGAGCAAAGTGAACCAACAGTTTGTTAAATACTTCAATTACAATGGAATATATATGGAGACATTCGAACAAGAACTTCCCATCGATTTTCGTCGGAAACAGAATTGTTGTATGTATAGAAATGTAAGTGCGCCAAGCCTGAACCATGGGTAAGCGTTTGATCCTTTTTGAGCCCATTGTACTTGACTTCATACAGAGATCGATCAACTTTTGTTTTAACCTATCGATCGCCACTCACACACGCAATGTGCGCAATATTCTCTCTCTCTCTCTCCCTATTTTTCCTCCTATTCAATGCGCAATAGTCTGTGCATTGTGGATACGTCACTTCTCTTCAATCGTTTGCTCTTTTTTTGCTCTTTGTTCATCTCCAATTGCGAACAAAAGGATGACGGGGAGACATGATGTTGTTACAAGAAAAACGACATGAAGAAGATGCGGCACATCTATTCTCTTACAAAGCAAATGAAGATCGATCTTCAATGAACGAAATGAAATACACATTGGTATTATATTGTTGTTAGTGGTGCTCGTGTGTGTGTGAGTTATTCACAATTATATGGTGTTTGTTACACGCCAGTATGTGTTGTGATTTTGTTTTGTGGCTATAATCAAAGAAGTGATTCCAAAACTGACATCTCCATTTACGAATCGCCATTTGTTTTGTGTTGTTCTTCTTTTTGCACAAAATTGAGTGGCAAGAGAGTGAAAGAAATGCAACGCAACTAATCATACCGCCGATGAGAATGGCCAGTCTGACAACAAAAACTGACGAAACCAATATATGAATGTCCGAGAATGAAAGTGAGAATTCTTCTCAGAACTTAGAAATTTGTAACAAATCTTAAAGATTTTATTGAATTGTAGTACCATCGCAATTCATGTTGAAGATTTGTTCACGACTTTTCTGATCGATCTCATAAAAAGCGTAATAAACAGTCTTTTTTTAACTCGTAACATCAAAACCAATTTTTTCTATTCGTAACATAAAAATCAATTTTACTTTTCCGCACACACCTAGTGTGTAAGGTAAAGTATTGGAATTGGTCGAAAAATTAACACCCATCAAAAATGTGTTTCCTGGGTGTTTTTGGGGCCAGGGAACACGAATCTAGCGTTTTTTCGATGTCCGAATGTATGTGCGTACCCTGTACCCTGTACGCTGTACCCTGTACGCAAAAATTTGTTAACACGATAACTTTCAAACAAGAAAAGTAATTCAAAATCTGACTTCACAGGATGATTGGGGTTGCCGAGGAATAGAAACCATTAGATTTTGAGCGAATTTGGTTGATAGAGTAAAGTGTCATGTCTGGTGTGATGCCCATGGCCATCCATGGGAAAATTCAATTTTTCTTCCAAAAGTGATATTTAATGTATTCTCAAACACTCAAAAATATCTATTGGGGGGTTTTTGGGTACGAGAAAACCGAATATGACGTTAGTTTTGCGATACAATAATATTTCGACAAAATTTTCATACAAAAATTTGAAAAACATTGGATTTTTTTATGGAAGCCATGCCTGTATGATATCGTAATGAGCTAAAACTTTGCACAGGTTATTTTTTTCACTCTAAAATAACATTCCGAGGGTTTGAAGAGATTTCAATGCATAATAGAGATACCTCCCCAACAAAATTTTGGATTTTTTGCTCAAAAACGAAATTTTTGTATGGAAGGTACCACTCAATTGTATTGGAATTTCTTCAAACTTTCAGAATGTTAGCTTTTTGTGAAAAAAATAACATCTGCAAATTTTCACATGATTACGATATCATACAGGCATTGAAAAGTCCAACAAAAATTATTTGTATCGCAAAACTTATATCAGATTCAGTTTTCTCATGAATTCATATTTACGGCAAAAGATACGTAATAAATGCATGTTGTGGATCACAGTGCGGAAAAGTTCATCTTACGGATGTAAGACATTTTATTATGGTATGCAAATTACCTGAAGTAAAACAGTAGTGTAGATATGGCGGTTCTGTCTATTTTTGCATGAAGACAAAATATATTGTATAATTTCTTTACTGGATTTTAATCATAGTGACTTGCTCCGAAATCATCAGGATTAGCAATAGATTGTTGAATTGGTGCGATTATTGAATTAATTTTCTTTTGTAAATTAATATGTTATTATTTGAATGAGCCACCTTTGGCGAAGAAACGCTGTATGATGCTGATTAATGATATATTGATCAGTATTATTGAATGTTTGTTTATTTTGATTTGAAATTTCACCAAGCCCAAGACCATTGTCCATACAAGACCCATTAGGCTCAAATTAATAATATATAATAATAACAGTGTTTGGTAAAGATATCTTATCTCGTTTGAGATAGTAAGATAAGATAAGATAAGATAGATACTATCTTTTAGAAAAATAAAAAATC